CAAGTAGCTGGGATTACAGGTGACTGCCACTGTGCTCAGATAATTTTTGTTTTTTTAGTAGAGAGGGGGTTTCACCATCTTGGCCAGGCTGGTTTTGAACTCCTGACCTCGTGATCCACCCGCCTTGGTCTCCCAAAGTGCTGGGATTACAGGTATGAGCCACCGTCCTTGGCCCCAATTGTCATCTTTAATATGGCTCTAAGAATTATTGCTCTAGTAAGAGCAAGCTTTTGCTTATTTTATGTGTGTACATTTCACCACTTTTCACATTGCAAGTTATTTGAGGACTTTTTGGTCCTCCTGTCTCTTCGATCTGTAGTGGTATTGAAACTAGATAACAGTGTTGAGCACTTACTATGGGCCAGTCATGGCTTTACACAGATGAACTCATTTCAGCCTCTCAACAACCCTGTCATTATTGCCATTTTTTTTTTTTTTTTTTTTTTGAGACGGAGTTTCATTCTTTTTACCCAGGCTGGAGTGCAATGGCGCGATCTCGACTCACCGCAACCTCCGCCTCCTGAGTTCAGGCAATTCTCCTGCCTCAGCCTCCTGAGTAGCTGGGATTACAGGCACACACCACCATGCCCAGCTAATGTTTTGTATTTTTAGTAGAGACGGGGTTTCACCATGTTGACCAGGATGGTCTCAATCTCTTGACCTGGTGATCCACCCGCCTCGGCCTCCCAAAGTGCTGGGATTACAGGCTTAAGCCACCGCCCCCGGCCTCATTATTGCCATTTTACAGATAGGCAGTCTGAGTTCCAGAGAAGTCAAATAACTTAATCAAAGTCACACGATTGTCAAGTGGCAGAGTTGTGCTGTAAACTCAGGCTGCTTGGCTCTAGATGTCTCACATCTATTCCTCTATGCAGATGCTAGTTGCAAAGATGCAGTCTCCTTGAGAAGTCGATCTGGGAAGTTAGTGGTATCAGTTTGTGCCCATGGCATGGAAAGTCCAACAGCTGTAGGAAGGCAAGACATGGTGGGGGACGCCAGGTCGTGGCTCACGCCTGTAATTGCAGCGCTCTGAGAGGTCGAGACGGGTGGATCACTTGAGGTCAGAAGCTCGAGACCAGCCTGGCCAACATGGCGAAACCCCATCTCTACTAAGATTGCAAAAATTAGCCGGTTATGGTGCCCATCTGTAATCCCAGCTACTCAGGAGGCTGAGGCAGAAGGATCGCTTGAACCTGGGAGGTGGAGGTTGCAGTGAGCCGAGATCATGCCATTGCACTCCAGCCTTGGTGACACAGCAAGACTCCTTTAGAAAAAAAAAAGACCCAGTGTGGGGAGGTATGGTGGTATACAGGGATAAACATTAGACATAAAGCCGGAAGCCCTTGCGTCTGCTTCTTGACCATGCTGCCTATGAACCCTGGACCTTGGGCAAGCCAATGAAACTTCCCAAGCCTCATTTTCTCACTTGTCAAATGGGATTAAGCTGCTCTTTCACAGAGATGTTGTGAGGAACCAATAAGCATGTGAATATTAAAGTGGCTTGTAAGCCGGAAAGCACTACCTGTATTTTAAATAATGAAGTTATCAGTTATTACCCTTAAAAGTACAGGATGGATCTGATGGGGAATGACAGTAATCATAAGAGAGGCAGGGGCTACCCAGGCCTATTAACAGGAGGGCCATTCCCTCACGTCCTCTCCGCCAGCTCCTTGATGTTGGCACCACTCATGTCTGGTGCCTGCTCATCCCATGACCTGGACTGAGAGCCCATTTCCCTGATTCTAGCAGTCAGGATGCCTAGCTGCCAGCAACAGCCATTTTATACTGGCAAGGAATTTATTAAAGAAATAATGATTAGGTAGTATTCTGGGGAGGAATAGAGAGCGAGGGCTACTGAGCAGCCACAGCATGAGGACGTCTCTCCCTTCCATGCCTGTAGAGGTCTGAGTCTCCTGTGCACATTGTTCCCTTCTACATTCAGGTCTTGCACAGGTGAGTCTGACTGGTGGAACCGAGGTCAGTATCTGTGTCCTGGTTGCAAGGGTTTTCTGGCTTCTACCTTGGCCAGAGAGGACTTATGAGAAATGACCAAAATGTAAAAGTGGGTTTTCAAAGATTTGGGTGGCCACGGATGATAGAATCTTCCATACTGGCCTAGTTCCCAGCATGCTGGACCCCAGAGAGTGATTCCAGGGAACAGCATGAGAGGAACCCACCAAGGGCTTCTGGCCCATTCATGGGGAGCCCAGAGAATGGTGTGCTTGTGCCCCCAAATCTGGGTGGTGTGGCGGGATGGCTCCTGCTCCCTTGGACTTAGGGGACAGGCTGCTGTACTGCTGCGTGTGCAGACAAGTGTCCTGGGGTGCCAGCAGGCAGGGTGGGGACGTTCATGTGAGACTGGACTGTGAGGAAGGGTGTGACAGTTGGCCACTGCTCTGATCTGGCCTGTCGCTGGCTTCTGCCTTTGCTGTCACCTTTCCTGTCACTTCAGTGTCTCCAGGCTCTAAGATAGAAGCTGACACATACCCAGAGTGAGCATCCTTTGTGCATGCAAGGAGTGCTCTTTTGTCACAGAAATGCAGACCCCATCGGGAACACACTGTAGGGGACTGACAGTTGCAGGTGCACTGCAGGCAGGATGTCAGGAGACAAGAGTGGGCCTAACGAACGCATACATTTATTCTAATAGGATGAGTTGGTACGAAACAACTGGTGGGTGTCAGCACCTCTTACTCCCTCCAGCCTGGAAGGAAAGAGATAAACATGGGTTTCTAAAGGCTCTTCAAGGGGAGATTTTACTTCGTCATCTTAGAGGGGTGGAGGAGAGGGGAAGGTCTGCAAAGGTAGAGAATGGAGCTGCAGACTCTGGGTGGGGTGTGGGAGTCTCTAACTGAAAGAGGATGGGAGTCTGGAGCTCCCAAAAGATGAGGACCTGTGCTCAGCAGCCTCCCTGGGGCAGGTGGAGCCTCAGAGGGACAAGTCCTGTGATACCCTATGGTATCTTGGTGTGCAGGATATACATGGTCTGGAACACAGGTGTCCCTGGTTGGCAAGACCCTCCTCGGGCTGTCTCAGTATTAAAGTAACTGATGTCTGACTTTACAGGCTAGAGGAGCAGGGCTGGGAACACGATGCCAAGGTAGACTGAAGACCAGAGCCCTCGTGAAATGCCGACCAGGAAAGGTTCCAAGGCTCTTGCGTATCTCTAAGGATGTGAAGGCCCTACCAAAACAAAACTCAAGCTACAGACTTGGAACCACGTTGCCTGGCTTAGAGAAATAAAGAATTGGGATAGCCCTAGTTTGCTAGGACTACTGTAACACAGTACCATCAACCGAGTGGCTTAAACAATGGAAATCAACTGTCTCACAGATCTGGAGGCCAGAAGCCAGACATTGAGTTGTCTGTAGGGCCAGGCTCCTTCTGAAGGCACTAGGGAAGAATCTGCTCCAGGCCTGTCTCCCAGCTTTGGAAGTTCCTTGGCACCTTGTGGAAGCAAAACTCCAGTTTCACAAGGTATTCTTCCTGAATGCGCCTCTGTGTCCAAATGTCCCCTTTTAATTTTTATCATACACACACACACACACACACACACACACACATGTGTATATATATGTATATGTGTGTGTGTGTGTGTGTATATATATATATATATGTGTATATATTTGAGATGGAGTCTCACTCCGTCACCCAGGCTGGAGTGCAGTGGCATGATCGCTGCTCACTCCACCTCCTGGGTTCAAGCAAGTCTCCTGTCTCAGCTCCCGGGTAGCTGCGATTACAGGCGCGTGCCACCACACCCAGTTAATTTTTGTATTTTTAGTAGAGACAGGGTTTCACCATGTTGGCTAGGCTGGTTTTGACCTCCTGATCCGCCCACCTCGGCCTCAAAAAGTGCTGGGATTACAGGTGTGGGCCACCGCGCCTGGCCAATTTCCCCTTTTCATAGGAATACCCAGTCATAATGGAGGAGGAGCCTGCCCTTATCTTAACATCTACAAGACCGTTATTGCCAAATAAGGGCACAATCTGATGTACCAGGAGTTAGGACTTCAACATATAAATTTTGGGGGACACAATTCAACCCCCAACAGCTGGGTCTCCCATTCTGAGTTCTGGGGCATACTTCACATGCTCTGCCTGGGCACAGCTGATTCCCACCCTGGGAATTCCCACCTTGGGACCTGCCCTGTGAGACTTAGGAGGACAACACATCTCTTTCAGTTAAAATTTTGTCTGTGGCTTGGAGAGTCACCTTCAATATACGGATAATGATGCCCAGACCTGTTGGCAACCTGCCTCCCAGCTGTGACCATGGCAGGTGAACCAGCCTCCCTGAGTCTCCACTGTCCACTGCCGACCAAATGGGAATCCTAACAGCTACTCTTATTATTATGCCTGAGACAAGGCTGCCAGTTAGAGAGGGCCTACCTGGCAGAGGGCTGTGAGCACACACAACACAATGTGGGCGGCCAGCAGATCCTAGCTCCCTTCCCCTTGGAAGATTATGCACACAGAAAATCTTTCCTTGGGTTGAGCTGGGATCTAGATGAGGCCAGGGGTCAGACAGGGTAAAGTACCAAGGTCACAGGGCTGTTACAGACATGGCACTGTGTAGAAGTCCAGTTTTACTGATCTCAGGAGAGGGGCCGATTGGGGTCCAGTGGCTCCTTCCAAAGACCTTTTGCCCTTGGAAAATGAGATGTGACCTCAGGGATGGGGGAGGAGGGAGAGGAAATGTGAAAACGGAGCCACAGAGTCTTAGAGTTGGATAGAACTTTGGAACAGCCCTATTGCAGGCCCCTCTTGCGACAGCTGGGGACGCTGAGGCCGGAGGAGGGGAAATACAGTGACAAGGTCAAACGTTGGTTGGGTGGTGCCTTGCGACAGAGGCCAGGGCTTTGAGGGGGCATAAGCTGTACTGGAGCTGCAAGGGGAGGTGGTGGGTGCTTCTAGGGGTCTGTGAGCTCCGTTTGCAAGACTGGAGGGGCCTGTGTCTGCGGAGGGGGTGGTTTCCAGGGCTCTGGAGGGGAAGGGAGGGGAGGCTAAAAGCAGGTGGGGGAGTGAATCTGGGGATTGTGGGAATTTCGGGCCGCGCCCCCGCCCCCAGCCATGCGTGGGGCGCCTGGAGAAGGGGCGCGCGGGCAGGTGCGGTGCTGCGGGGCCCGCGCGTGGGGGCCGCGCCGGCCGGGGCGGGGTGAGTCACTGCCCGCCCGCTCCCATTGTGCGGCCCGGCGGCGGCGGCGGAGGTGCGGAGCCGAGCGCGAGGAGGTGGAGCCGCGGGCTGCGGGCTCCGGCGCCTGCGTCCGCCCGGCCAGCCCGGCTCTGCGCCGCGAGAGGCCGGACGGGAGCCGCGGCTGCGCCCCCGAGCGAGCGCGGGGGACATGGGGCGCGGCGGCCCGTCTGGGCCTCGCAGGCTCCGGAGCCCCGAGGTACCGCGGGGCGGGGCGCGCGGGTCAGGGCGAGGGCCCCGGGCTGTCCCGGGCGTGGCTGGGCCTCCGCGGGGCGCTTGGGCCGGGTGCGGGCGTCCGGCTCCCGGGGGGTGGGGGGACGCCATCGCGAGGATCCTGACCCCGCCCTCCTCCCCCAGGGCTCCCCGCTAGGCCCCCTCAGTGGCCCCTCCTTCTCACCCGGGGCTCGGGTTCCTTAGTGAGCGACAGCGTCCCCAGCCACCTCCCCAGCCATGGCCAACGGAGTGATCCCGCCGCCCGGGGGCGCCTCCCCCCTACCCCAGGTGACCGGCGCGCGCGGGGGCGGGGGAGAGATCGGGGAGGAGAGGGGAGGAACCTTAGGGTAGGCAGAAGTGCCCTCTGGCCGACCCCAGGACCTCCCAGATCCATGATTGAGCTGGGCTGGGGTTATGGAGACAGAGGGGGCTTTTGGTGTTTTCCAGATCCGTAGCCTTCTCTCTCCTCAAGCTCTGGGAGCCCAGAGAGGGTGGTTTGTGAGATGCTGACACAGGCCTGGGCTCAAGGGGAGGGGGCCCGATGGTGCGGGAGTCTGCTGAGCTCACCCAGCTAGGGCTTGGAGTTGGCGTGGGTGTGGGGCCTTCATGGGTCAGGGGTCGTTAGCAGAGGCCGTCTGGGCCTGCAGGTCCGGGTGCCCTTGGAGGAGCCCCCTCTAAGTCCAGACGTGGAGGAGGAGGACGATGACTTGGGCAAGACCTTGGCTGTGAGCAGGTTTGGGGACCTCATCAGCAAGCCCCCGGCCTGGGACCCCGAGAAGCCCAGCCGCAGCTACAGCGAGCGGGACTTTGAGTGTGGGTAGCCTGGGGACCCCTAGTGCGGCCGCCCTTGCCACCATCACCATCATCGCCACCATCACCGCGCTCACCTCCGGCTTGGTCACCCAGTGCCATCCTGTGCCGGACACTGTGCTGGACTCTGTGCGGGGCCACATGCCGTTCGGTCATCCTGCCTCCCCCACCCATCGCCTGTCTGCCTGCCAGGGGAGGTGGGCCCCAGACCATGGGAGAACTAGGGAGCCAGGCCTGGGCCCTTCCACGGTGACCTTCCACTTCCCCTTCGGCCCCAGTCACTCCCTCCTTGTCCCTCCTTAGCTCCTTCGACTCTGCGTTTCCCCTCCTTGCTGTATCATCTCCCCCCACCCAGTCCCCTTCATGACCTTCCCTTTCCATCCCTTCCCTCCTCCTACTCCACCGGACCTCATCAGTGACAGGCACTTGGATACAGGTGTTGGGGGGTCATGGCCCTGGAGGAAGGACTAGGGTGCCCTTGTTTGCGGCCTTGAGCTGGAAGGTGTGTGTCCCTCGGGTGGGGAGGACCCCCCTTTCTGCTGTGGGGGTCTCAACCGGATCTCCTGCACCCCCAGTTCACCGGCACACATCCCACCACACCCACCACCCGCTCTCAGCGCGCCTGCCTCCACCCCACAAGCTGCGGCGGCTGCCCCCCACCTCTGCCCGGCACAACAGGAGAAAGAGGAAGAAGGAGAAGACCTCTGCTCCCCCCTCCGAGGGGACCCCTCCCATCCAGGAGGAGGGGGCAGCTGGAGTGGATGAGGAGGAGGAGGAAGAGGAGGAAGAGGAAGGAGAATCTGAGGCAGAACCTGGAGAGCCCCCACCCTCAGGGTCCCCACCGAAGGCAAAGGTAGGGGCTTCCCTTGGAGGGGTGGCAGGTCAGGGGTCAGGGAGGGGTGCAGGGAGGAGGGGAGGAGCACATGATGGGGTCCTGTGTGAGACTGGAGGCCGGATGGGGTTGGGGCTGCATGGTAGGTTGGGGAGGGCCCCAAGGCACATTCTGTGTCTGCAGTTCTCCATTGGAAGTGATGAGGATGACAGTCCAGGCCTCCCCGGGAGGGCTGCTATCATCAAGACCCTGCCCTCGGTGGGCCCACGCACTGACAGGAGCCCCCAGCACTCCGGCAGGTACTGGCGACAGCCCCCACTCAGCAGGGCCCTGCCCAGAGCCGCAGGGTCCAAAGCGCTGGCAGTCACCTCCTTCCTGATCCGGAGGAGTATCCTCAACTCTGTCCCTGAGAGAAGGGGAGCAGGGTGGTAGGAGGGGGGTGGGGATCTCTTCTCTGTCCTTACAATTTACGGGGAGGAGAGAACAAGGGGGGAGAAAAATGGAGAAGAGCAGAGTGAAGAGGTTAGGAGTTCCTCAGGAGAGAGTGACATAGTGGAGAGGGCGAGGAGAAGGATGGAGGAAGCGCGGAGCCTTGGGATGGGAAGAGGGGGCCTGGGTCAGCGTCCTTTTCTGTCCAGGAGGGGCCTGGGTCTTGTGCTCAGGGTCCACTCCAGGCCCTTCTCTGAGCTGGGGGACAGTGATGGAACCACTGACCTGGCCCTGTCAAGTTCAAGGCTACTGTGTTGCCTCCCCAGCTCCCCCAGCCCCCGGGCCAGGGCGTCCCGACTCGCTGGGGAGAAGAGCCGGCCCTGGAGCCCATCGGCCAGTTATGACCTTCGGGAGCGACTGTGCCCAGGCAGTGCCCTGGGCAACCCAGGTGGTCCAGAGCAGCAGGTGCCCACAGATGAGGCGGAGGCCCAGATGCTGGGTTCTGCAGACCTGGATGATATGAAGAGTGAGTAAGACCTCGTGGCAGCCCCCACGGTTCACTGCGACTGACTCTCAGCCTGCGAGTGACCTTGGAGAGGCTGTGAGCTGTCCCCCACTCAGGGTTGAGTCCTCTCTGAATCCCTGTCTGCTGGGATGTGGCCAGTGATGGGGAGCTCACTACCTCACCCAGCCACCCTCTCTGATTGCCAGAGCTGAGATTTCCTTTCCTGACACTTCAAGCCTCAGTCCTGATTCTGTCCTCTGAGTCACCCCTAGAAAATGGCAGCTCTCTTTTTCACAGCCTTGTATCCCTCCCCAGGGCCCATCTTCTCAGGGTGAACCCTTTGTCTCCTAGCTCTTTGATCCCCTCCAAACCAGACCCTGAGTCTGTGCCACTGCTCCAGACCCCTGCCTCTCCCTGTCAGGACCCCTCACTCCCATCCCACCACCCTTGGCTGGGCCTGGCTGTGATCTCGGCACATTCCTTCCATCTTATCAGTGCCCTGGTTTCTGTGCCACCTGTCATCACCCATGGGGCTCTGTGCCCAGGCCAGGGGCATCACTGATCCCTCCTCCTCCTCGGAGCCCCAGTATGTGGGCGGGGTAGGGGGGAAGGGTAGGGCTTTGAGCTCAATACGTCATGGAAAGTTGCCAGGGCCTGAGGACAGGGACAGGAACAATCCGATGGCAGCAGTAGCAGTGGGATGGGGGGTGGGGGAGGGCATGTTTACAGACCCAGGGTCGGGGCTGGACTCTTCGGGGAGCAGGCTTGTGGACGTGGGGAGTTGGGGTCGGGAAGCTGTGCCACCTTCGGCTCTGGTTGGACAGAGGCTACCTTGTCCAGGCCCCCACCTTCAAGGAGAGACGAGGGGTCTGGTAGGGAGCGGGAGCCGAGGTCTTGGCCACCGGGAGAATGACGAGCCCACTGGAGGAGGACCCTGAGCCCCATGGGGCACTAAGCCCTGGGTCTGGGGACACTGGAGGCCAGGACCCTGGGAGGGATCCAGCCCCCAGCCCTCGAGACTCAATGGCCTCAGAAGACTTAGAGATGTTTGTGTTGGACTTTGAGGATGGTGGCCTATGGGAGTCCATCAGGGGCCAGCTGGGCCCCTTGGCAGGGCCACTAACTTGTGAGTAACGGGGCTGCTGGCCTTTCCTTGACTGCTGCTAGCCTGGGCGGGGCAGGTGGGAAGAAGGGAGGGAAGCCCTGCCTGAGCCTGTTAGGCCGTGTACCTTCAGGGAGGGGACATGGGCATTGAGAGAGGGCTCACGGAAAGTGTTGGGGGCTCAGTGCCTGGGGACTCTGGCTCAATGCCAGTCATGGGACCGCAAATGGAGAGGGAGGTGCAGCCACCACGGCAGGGGCTGGAGGGTCTGGCTGGGGCTGTGGACGAGCTGGGTCTGCCTTTGGGTTGTACCTTGGCTGGTGGTCCTGGGTGACCATGGGGCTGTCCTTCCTGCTTTCTGAACTTCAGTCTTCTTATCAATGAAATGGCCACATGGGATTATGTGGTTCCTGTCGGCATGGCTCCTTGGTGACTATAGAGCTCACCAAGTAGATGGGTTGGGTAGAAGGAGCTGGGCCATGACCCTGAGGCCCCCAGCTGCCCCTGTGGGACCCCCAAGCCCATCTTCTCTGCAGGTCACCGACTGGAGGACAATCCTGGTGTGCGGCGACACTTAGTGAAGAAGCCGTCCCGGACGCAGGGCGGGAGGGGCAGTCCCAGTGGCCTGGCCCCCATCCTTCGCAGGAAGAAGAAGAAGAAGAAGCTGGACCGGAGACCTCATGAGGTCAGAATGTTGAGTGGGTGGGCCTGTGGCTTCCTCAAGCCCCTCAGCCCCAGAGCCCTCCTCTCCTTACCTTCCTGCCTTGCCCCGTTGCCGTGTTCCCTACACCTGGCGGCCCCCGGGCCCTCACCCATGGCATGCCCCCCAGGTGTTCGTGGAGCTGAACGAGCTGATGCTGGACCGCAGCCAGGAGCCCCACTGGCGGGAGACGGCCCGCTGGATCAAGTTTGAGGAGGACGTGGAGGAGGAGACGGAGCGCTGGGGGAAGCCCCACGTTGCCTCGCTCTCCTTCCGCAGCCTGCTGGAGCTCAGGAGAACCATCGCCCATGGTAGGGACTCCCAGGCCTGGCCTGGGGCTGCATGCCCTCTTCACGGCCACAGAGTTCAGTCTGTGCCAGGCTGCTTAGCTCCCAGGGACACTCCCTGGAGTCCTGGGCCCAGGCAAGATCCAGCTGCCACTTGGGACCATGTGGTCCAGTTGTCTGGGCAGCCTGTGAGCCCCAAGGGGCAGTGCTGTGTTTGGTGCGTGCAGTCAGTCAACACATGGCTTCCCCTTCCTTGGTGAGGAGGGGCCGTGCCCTCATTCCTGTGCCGTTTTCACGGCCCCTCTCTGGCTGGCCTGTGGCAATATGGAGCTGTGTACACTGGGCGCTTTGCTCTTACAGCACATTCGCCTGCTCTTAGGGGTCAGGCAGAGTGGGGGGAGATTTTTCCTGTCTGATGGGATTGTGCCCTCTCCCTGGACTGTCCCCTAGGAGCTGCCCTCCTGGACCTGGAGCAAACCACCCTGCCGGGCATCGCACACCTCGTGGTGGAGACCATGATTGTATCCGACCAGATCCGGCCGGAGGACAGGGCCAGCGTCCTTCGTACCCTGCTGCTGAAACACAGGTGCCTGGGCGGGCGCCTGGGAGGGGCCTGGCTGGCGCAGCTGTCCTTCCAGCAGCACAGCCTCTCCCAAGTGGCTCTCAGCCTCTACTTGAATAAGTGACAGAGAGCTCATTTCTATCTTTTGACACCTCCAATCATTAGAAAGTTTCTTCTGAGGCAGAGGGACGGGGGCCCTGACCCTCCCCTACTCGTGACCTCAGTCTACCGTGAGCCTCTCATCTTCTAACCTGCCTTACCCTGCGCCTTTCAGCCATCCCAACGATGACAAGGACAGTGGCTTCTTTCCCCGAAACCCATCGAGCTCCAGCATGAACTCAGTCCTGGGGAATCATCACCCAACTCCCAGCCACGGCCCTGATGGGGCGGTGCCTACCATGGCTGATGACCTGGGGGAGCCAGCCCCGCTCTGGCCACATGACCCTGACGCCAAGGAGGTCAGTGCCCTTGCTCTGGCTTGGGCCCGGGGACTAAGAGGGTGTCCAGTTTCCGTCGAGGTCATCAATGACTTCACTGAGCGGGTTGGGAAGGTTGGATTCCTGGCACCATGCTGGGCACTGGGGGACCTAGAGGAGACCTGCAGGAGGGGTCCCTGCCCTGAGACACAGGAAGTTTGAATGTGATGATGTGGCAGACCCACAGGAGCTGTTTAAACAAGAGAAGGTGGCAGTGGGGGGCATTGAGTCAGGGTCCACATCCCAGTCGGTGGCTCCCAGTGTAGGGCCAGAGTGCCGTACCTGCCCACTCTGGGAGGGAGAAGCAGGTCTCAGACCCAGGGCTGGAGCCAGGGCTGGGAGGGCCTGCCACGGCCTCCGGTCTGGGTCCCAGCCCTATTCCAGTTCTGCGTCCTCAGAAGCCCCTCCACATGCCTGGGGGAGACAGTCACCGGGGGAAAAGCCTGAAGCTGCTGGAAAAGATCCCCGAAGATGCTGAGGCCACCGTTGTGCTTGTGGGTAAGGAGGGCCGGGCACTGGGGTCAGGGTCTGCAGCGTGTGTGTGCCTCTCCTGGGGGCCTGTTTTTTTGAGTTCTGGCCTGGAGGCCGCCTCCTCCATCTCCCTCCAGCTTCCACCTGGCCCCTGCTCTTCCTCATAGCTGGTCTTAGCCCACCCCTTTCTTTCCTAGTCCCCTGCCTGCTTCCTGTCCAGTTTTCTGCTGTCTTGGACTCATGCAAGTCCATACAAGAGCAACCCTTCTTTAATACCCTGAGTTTCCATCTGCTGGTGAATTGTCATTGGTGTACATATAGACACATAAGTGAATAGCGCCCCTTTAGACTGGGGTTTCTTTGTGCAGTATACAACCTGCTCAACTATACATGATAGTCCTAGATATCCACTCCAGGGCCTGCCTTGACTGCTGCCCTTTGCCCAGTGCCCTGTGCTTTCCTCTTCCCCTAGGTTGTGTGCCTTTCTTGGAGCAGCCGGCGGCAGCCTTCGTGCGGCTGAATGAGGCTGTGCTTCTGGAGTCTGTGCTTGAGGTCCCTGTCCCAGTCCGCTTCCTCTTCGTGATGCTGGGGCCCAGCCACACCAGCACCGACTATCACGAGCTTGGACGCTCCATTGCCACCCTTATGTCTGACAAGGTTGGGTGCAGGCCGGCTCTCTAGGCCTCTTCTCCTAGGCCCTGCTTGCCCCCGTCCCTCTCATTGTCCACAGTGGTGCCTATAGAGGCAAGGGTGCTAGAGGCCCCTGGGTGGAAGCCATGCCCTGGAGTATGGTGGGGGAGCTGTTGGCCCAGGGGGAAGCAAGAGCCCTGAGCTGTGACTGTGGGAGGGGGTGGTGACATAAGGGGAAAAGCTCAGACTCCAGAGCTTTAGATGTGACACGGGACTTGAACAGGATGGCTGGATGTGCTGGTCTTTGCTGTGGCTTCTCCTGGGATTGGATAGGAGGGTCCTTTAGCCAGGGGCAACGTTCACAATATTATCAGCCTGCAAGGTGTGGCCGATCCAGTTAGAATGGCTCTGGAAGCCCCTGCTCTGCCAGGCGCCACCTCTTTAGCTGTGGCACGTGGAAGGCTGGCGTCTCCTAGGGGAATGAGGGCACCTGGGGCTTCAGGGCGGTGGCTTGCTGGCCTGCAGGGCTGGGTGTCAGTGTTCCAACAGCCGATGCTGTTGGACTGGCCCAGTATCTATGGCTGAATGTCCCCCCTGCCCGTAGCTCAGTGACACAACACTCCTCCCGCCATGTCTCCCTCCTGGAGGCTCCCTTGGCCGTCCCTGAGAGTCCTGGCCCTCTCATTGCCCCCAGCTGTTTCATGAGGCTGCCTACCAGGCGGACGACCGGCAGGACCTCCTGAGCGCCATCAGCGAGTTCCTGGACGGCAGCATCGTGATCCCTCCGTCCGAGGTGGAGGGCCGAGACCTGCTGCGCTCCGTGGCTGCCTTCCAGCGAGAGCTGCTTAGGAAGCGGCGGGAGCGCGAACAGACCAAAGTTGAGATGACCACACGGGGCGGCTACACGGCCCCTGGGAAAGGTCAGACCCTTGGGGGCTGAGTGTCCCTGACTCACACTCCCCTATCCCAGGGCCCTGAGGCTGTAACCCCAGCCCTGTCCTCCCGACTTCTGGAGTCCTTTGCGTCCCTGATCCCAACAGCTTGGGGCCTCCAAGACAGAGGGAGTGGTCTGCCCCAGCAGCCCTTTTTTCCCCCAGACGTATCTTTGGAGTTGGGGGGCTCCGAGGCGACCCCTGAAGATGACCCCTTGCTGCGGACGGGCTCGGTATTTGGGGGGCTCGTGCGGGACGTGAGGCGCCGGTACCCGCACTACCCCAGTGACCTGCGAGACGCCCTGCACTCCCAGTGTGTGGCTGCCGTGCTCTTCATCTACTTTGCAGCCCTCAGCCCTGCCATCACCTTCGGGGGGCTGCTAGGTAAGGGGCAGGGGCTTGAGGAATTGAGGGGCTCCTGCAGTCCCTCTTGGTCCCGGTGTCATTTGTAGGTTCCTGGGTCTGGGTGTGATCATGTTAGGGGCCAATAGTTAGACGTGCTAGCAAAGGTGTGAGCACCTTAGAGACATGCTGGGTCACGGAACCCCAGGGATCACCTCTGGGGGCTATAAAGTGAGAGGGCGTGAGGGAGGTGTAAGGCGTGGGAGTCCTGTGATCACCACTGGGGGCTAGCGGGGAGGGTCTGGGAGCAATGGGGTATGGAAGGGCCCTGTCTGTCACTCTAAGGGGCTGCCCTGCTTTTGTTGGGAGCCCCAGTTTGGGACAAGCTAGACGAGGAAGGGGGCAGATAGACAGAGCCAGGCTAGGGCCATCCTGCTGGCCTTGCCACCGCAGGAGAGAAGACCGAGGGGCTGATGGGTGTGTCCGAGCTGATTGTGTCCACTGCTGTGCTGGGCGTCCTCTTCTCTCTGCTGGGGGCTCAGCCACTGCTTGTGGTTGGCTTCTCTGGGCCGCTGCTCGTGTTTGAGGAAGCCTTCTTCAAGGTGAGGGGAGCCTTGTTCGCTGTATCCATCCTGCCCCACACTCTTCCTTACCCAGGGGATGGGTCCCTGCATTCTCCCTCCTCTTCCTTGGAGTTCACCCACTGCTCATTCCAGGGGCACTGACGCCCAGAGCAGGACACCTGTGGGTAACCACCACTCCCAACCCCCCCAGTTCTGCCGAGCCCAGGACCTGGAGTACCTCACTGGCCGGGTGTGGGTTGGCCTCTGGCTGGTGGTCTTCGTCCTTGCCCTGGTGGCCGCTGAAGGCAGCTTCCTGGTCCGCTACATCTCGCCTTTCACCCAGGAGATCTTCGCCTTCCTCATCTCACTCATTTTCATCTATGAGACCTTCTACAAGCTGTACAAGGTGGAGGTCCAGAGAGGTCTTGGGGGTGGCAGAGATGGGGGTGGACATTGCCCTGGGGAGGACAGCATGGGAGGGGGAAGTATGGAGAATTGGGGGACAAGGAGAGGGACTGTGTTGGGAGTGAGGGGTTCTAGGGACACCCTAGGCTAGGTCTGAGCTGAAGGGGAGGGAGTCAGACCCAGAGGGCAGGTGCCAGGTCACAGCTCCAGGCACCTGGTTGGAGGCTTAGTAATAAGGACTCCCCTGCACAGGTATGTGATGGGGAGGGTGCTGCCAGTGCTGAGGGGCTGGGTGTCCTTGGGTCACCTTTTGTAGAGGAGTGTGTGTTTGTGCAGTGTGTGAGTATGGTGTAGTGTGTGTGTGTGTGTGTGTGTGTGTTTTATGTTGTGTGTGTGGTGTGTGTTATGTGCATATGCATGTGCATGCTGTATGTGTGTTGTGTGTTGTATGTGTTGTGTTTTGTATGTAGTATGTGTGTCGTGTGTGTGTTGTATGTTGTATATGTGTGTTTTATTGTATGTGTTGTGTGTTTTTTGTGTGTGTTGTGTGTGTTTCGTGTGTGCGTGCGTATATCTGTGTGTGGTGCAGCTGGATGTCCGTACATTACTGCTATTGAGGGGTCACCTGCTCTCTCTCAGGTGTGCTGATGACGATGAAATCAGGTCACCTGCCAGGTAAGTGACAAGGCACCCTTGTTACCCACACACAGGTATTCACAGAGCACCCACTGCTGCCGTTCTACCCCCCTGAAGGGGCCCTGGAGGGGTCCCTGGAGGGGTCCCTGGAGGCTGGTCTGGAGCCGAATGGCAGTGCCCTGCCCCCCACCGAGGGCCCCCGCAGCCCGAGGAACCAGCCCAATACGGCACTGCTGTCACTCATCCTCATGCTCGGGACCTTCTTCATCGCCTTCTTCCTGCGCAAGTTCAGGAACAGCCGCTTCTTGGGGGGCAAGGTGCGCAGCTGCTGGGTGTGGAGCCCCCAAGAGTCCCCTAGTTCCTGCTGTCACTGCCAGGCTCAGTTCCCCAGAGAGACTGCACCCCTTCCCCAGTCAGCCCTTGGACCAGAACCCAGCCTGGGCAGCCCCTCGCCCCATCAGAAGCCTCTTCTCTGGGTTGTCTTCTTACCCTTTGCTCAGAGAAGTCCAATCAAGACAACAACCTCCCAGGCTGCGCTGGCACCTGTGGGGTTGAGAGGCAGGTGGGGGCCTTTGGCTCCAGCTTGGACCCAGGCAGGCCCAGGGATGGTAAGTCCCATGTGAGCCTGCTGACCTCGCCTCCACCTTCTGCCCCTTCCCCGACTGGCCCCTCTCCAGGCTCGCCGCATTATCGGGGATTTTGGCATCCCCATCTCCATCCTGGTGATGGTCCTGGTGGATTACTCCATCACAGACACCTACACGCAGGTGAGGGAGCCTGAGTCTGTGGCAGCTGCTCTCACCCCAAGGCTAGGAGAGGGAGCCCCTCCTTGGGCTCTGGGGTTGGGATCGGGCCTGAATCCAGCTCTCCTAGGGGAGTGGCTACTGTGGGTGGTGGGGCTGGGGCTTCCGGCCTTCCCGCCTTCCTGAGTGAAGAATCCAGTGGAAGCAGGTGTGGGGCTGGGAGCAGAATGACAGGTACCTCACACAGGTCCTAGCAAGCTCTGGGTCTCAGGGAGGAGGTGCTCCATTTCCCTGCCTTCTACTGGATCCTTGGAAGGACAGTGACTTTTAGAGGATGCAAAGCTAATTTCCCCCAACCTGTTCACACCCCAACTCCCCCCCCGAAGTCCTGGTATTGGAGATGCAGGTTGGTGGTAGCAATTGCTTCATGGGCTTTCTAGCATGGGGCGGCTGTGTCCCTTAACCCTGTTTTCCTGCCATGCAGAAGCTGACAGTGCCCACAGGGCTCTCAGTGACCTCTCCTGATAAGCGCTCGTGGTTCATCCCACCACTGGGCAGTGCCCGTCCTTTCCCGCCCTGGATGATGGTGGCAGCTGCTGTCCCCGCCCTCCTCGTCCTCATCCTGATCTTCATGGAGACACAGATCACAGCGTGAGAGGGCTGGGAGGAGGAGATGGGAGGGATGAGGCCAGGCTCTTGCCTCTTTGGCTTGGTTTCAGGGTTATAGCAGAGACATCATTATCAGTATTGGGGGGCTGGGTAGGTAGGAACTGGTGGCAAGCCTTGAGGAAGAGAGTGTGTGTCGAGGAGCTGACAGGGGTGAGGAGGAGCTGGGGGAGGAGCAGGGAGCAGTGGCAGCCAGGGCAGGGGCACGGCTTCCCCGTGATGGTTTGACATGACATCTGCCTGTCGCCACCACTGTTTGCAGGGTGGCACTTGACAGTCTTCAGAACACTCTAGCAGTCTAAGCTTGCACTCAGGGATGCTCTCATGTATCTAATTTTGGTTAAACCACAATAACGTGGTAAGATCTGGCATCTGGCTTTTGTGGTGTTTTAAATATTCACAGTATGAGAATTTGGCTCACATTTGCTTCAATGTGAGAACCTCAATTTGGGAACTTGAAAGAGGAAGCTGGCAGTCCTGGGAGAACTGTTGTCTGCACGTCCTCTCCCCATCCTCTGGTCTCTGTGTGCCTGCCTGTTTCTGTCCCCTTCCCCTGTGGGGCCAGCCACACCCAACCCCTCCCCACCCTCTCTCTCTAGGCTCATTGTCAGCCAGAAGGCGCGGAGGCTGCTTAAGGGCTCCGGTTTCCACCTGGACCTGCTCCTCATTGGCTCCCTGGGGGGGGCTCTGTGGGCTGTTTGGGTTGCCGTGGCTCACGGCGGCCACAGTCCGCTCTGTCACCCATGTCAATGCACTGACAGTGATGCGCACTGCCATCGCACCTGGTGACAAGCCCCAGATCCAGGAGGTGCGGGAACAGCGGGTCACTGGTGTGCTCATCGCCAGCCTCGTGGGTGAGAGCCCACCTCCACCCTGCACACCCCTCCTCCTGGGGCCCCATGGTCTTATATCTTCTCTATCCGAGGCTTGACCCTCAATCTCCCAATGTGTCATGTGTTGCCCTCAATCTGACCCTCAAACCTGCTTCCCAACACTCCCTCAGCCCCTTCCTCCCCGAGCCCTTTCCTGGTTCTGTCCTGCCCCCTCTTTTCTTGTTCAAGGTGATGAGGCCAAACTGATTGGCCTAGTGGGTCCATGTCACCCACCCACCAGGCCTGTCCATCCCCAGGGGCTGTCTGAGGGTTGGCAGGTCTGTGTCACCTCCTCCAGGCCTATCCATCCTCCCAGGGGCTATCCAAGGGTTAGCAGGTCTGTGTCACCTCCTCCAGGCCTGTCCATCCTCCCAGGGGCTATCCGAGGGTCAGCAGGTCTGTGTCACGTCCTCCAGGCTTGTCCATCGTCATGGGGGCCGTGCTGCGTCGGATCCCATTGGCTGTGCTCTTTGGGATCTTCCTGTACATGGGGGTCACATCCCTGTCTGGTATCCAGCTGTCCCAGCGTCTGTTGCTCATTCTCATGCCTGCAAAGCACCATCCCGAGCAGCCCTATGTGACCAAGGTAGGGCCAGGAAGCATGGGATGGGGCAGTGGGGTGACAGGAAGGGGATCCAGAGAGATCTGGGGGCATCAATGGATGGGATGAATATGAAGGAGAAGTTGGGACCTGGGAGCCAAGTTCCCTATGATGTGGGTGGGAGCAGGCCGGGGTGCTGTGCGCTGAGGCCCACTGGCTGCTCCCCCAGGTGAAGACGTGGCGGATGCACCTGTTCACCTGTATCCAGCTGGGCTGCATCGCGCTGCTCTGGGTGGTCAAGTCCACGGCGGCCTCACTCGCCTTTCCCTTCCTGCTGCTGCTCACGGTGCCTCTGAGGCATTGCCTTCTGCCCCGGCTCTTCCAGGACAGGGAGCTGCAGGCGGTAAGTGGGTGGCCTGGGGTGGCAGTATTAGGGCAAATGGGCACTGGGTTGCAATCTCTGTTTGGCCACCCACTAGTTGTGGGTGTTAGTTGTGTAACTTCTGTTGCAAATTATCTCACCTTCCGAAATCTTATTTTCGCCTGTATGATAGGGGTAATCATAGATCCTACCTTGTAGGACCGTTGCGAGGGTCAAGTGCTAGTCCATATAAAGGCCTGAGGATGGTGGTTTTGTACAGGAGCAGGCACGGAGCTTCTGCACACAGCTGTGCAGGCGGTACCTGACCAAAAACACACAGCTGAGGCCACAGGGGTGATGTGGCACTGGCGTCCACCCTAAGCCCTGTTTTTGTCTAGAGGAAAAGATATCTTTTTTTTTTTTTTTTTTTTTTTAGTGACTGAGTCTCGCTGTGTCACCCAGGCTAGAGTGCAGTGGCGCAATCTCAGTTCACTGCAACCTCCACCTCCCTGGTTCAAGCAATTCCCCTGCCTCAACCTCCTGAGTAGCTAGGATTACAGGCGCATGCTACCACGCCCGGCTAATTTTTTTGTATTTTTCATAGAGATGAGGTTTCATCGTGTTGGCCAGACTGGTCTTGAACTCATGATCTCAGGCAATCCTCCCACCTTGGCCTGCCAAAGTGCTGGGATTACAGGCATGAGCCATTGTGCCCGGCCATGAAAAATCCTTTTGCAATGTATCCTACTCAAACATGGTGTACAAAGGTACCACAGCTACTAGAAGTGGCCTCAGGAAAGAGATTCATAATAATTATTATCACCAGGAGGGGCCAAGTGTCTGGTCTGGGAGGTGACCTGAAGGCTTTGGCCAAGGGCAGTGCTGCCACCCGGGGTCATGGTACTTGCAGACAGGCCCAGGAAAGGTCGGGGAGCAGGGAGGGCTGCAGGTTGGAGGAGGAGGTGGAGAACAGGAGGGGATGAGGATGCTTCCCTGCCTCCCCCAACCTTCTGCTCCCTCTGCAGCTGGACTCAGAAGATGCTGAACCAAACTTTGATGAGGATGGCCAGGATGAGTACAATGAGCTGCACATGCCAGTGTGACCCTTGAAGACAGTGCCCCTCAGATACCCCAAGACATTAGAGATGGACACCTGGGCCCGGGGGCTCCTCAGGACTCAGAGATGTGCCTGGAACCACACCTGATGCCACGGCTAGAGTGGCCCCCGTGACTTCTGCCTGGGGCGTTGATCTCGCCTCTCCTTTCACAGACCAGACCGGCACAGGCTTTGAGCTCATTATAACCACACTCCTTGTCTCGTGTCTGCCTCACTCTGTTGGTTCCATCTTTGGTTTGTCAGGTCATACTTATCCATTTGGAGTTGGAGAATTCTATTTTCAGGGTCATCAAAACCAGGGAGAGGTTTGAGCCAAGGACAGAGTCCTTGGGAGAACAAGAGAGAATCAAGACCACAGAAGGCCAGAGCTGGGCTTTATCAACACCTCCCAGGCCCCTCAAGTGCAGCTGGGGAGCGGGCGGTGGCGGGGGGCCCTCAAGGGTTAACTCAAGGTCTGCTCAAGGTCACATGCCCGTGAATCTAGCCCCTGCTTAGCAAGGGGGGAGAACCAGGGAGGGGAGGGGAGGAAGTTGCTTCAGTGTAGCCACTGGGGAAATCAGAGCATCTCCAGGGGCTGTGTGGCCACAGAGGGAATGGAAAATGTCTCTCTTCTCCTTTTTTTTGAGACAGAGTCTCACTCTGTTGCCAGGCTGGAGTGCAGTGGCGCCATCTTGACTTACTGCAATCTCTGCCTCTCAGGTTCAAGCGATTCTCTTGCCTCAGCATCCCAAGTAGCTGGGACTTACAGGCATGAGCCACCACACCCAGCTAATTTTTTTTCTATTTTTAGTGGAGACAGGGTTTCACCATGTTGGCCAGGCTGGTCTCAAACTCCTGACCTCAAGTGATCCACCTGCCTTGGCCTCCCAAAGTGCTGGGATTAAAGGCCAGAGCCACCGCGCCAGGCCTCTCTTCTTTTCTTGATGTCTGGCCTTCGGTGGAACAGAGATAGCAGCCCAATCCCCTAGACGCCAGGGTGGTGCTGGATTTGGGGTCCCTGGACCATTTTAGCTTCTGCTGGCTTAGAGAGGCAGTTTTGGGATTCCTGAGGCCACTCCTTGTGCAACAGTCTCTGTTTTGCCAGAAATAACCTGGGATACTTGAGGGGAGCGGGAGCCCATTGCGTCATAGTTGCTAGGCAACCTCTAGAGTGGAGGAGAGCATTGTCCCCCGTTGCCCTCCGGTGGCCGCTCTCGCATGCTGCAGGCTCTGTCCCGACTGAGGAATAGCAGCACTGCCACCTGGTGGATCCGCGGTGCTCAGAGAGCCCATTCAAGCGCATCCAGTTCCTCCGGGGGAGACCAGCCAGGACAGGCAGGTTCCGTGTTCCACAGCCCTGGGCAGCTCAGGGCATCCAGGGCCAGGGATCCCTCAGCCTTGAATTAGCAGTTTCCTCCCGAGCTGGTGCTGCTCCTTTCTTCTCTTTTTCCCATTTTGCTCCCCAATGTGCTGAACCCCTATCAACTCTAGTGGGGAAGGCACCAAGAGGTAGAAGAGGAGACGGAGACCAGCAAATGAGACATGGGGTTTTATTTGGACTTACATACACGGGACAGAGTTCAGCAGTAGTGAGCGGGGCAGAAGAAACCAAAACCGATTGCAAAAAGCATTTTCTATAGCATTTCCACTTACTTAGCACCTTTCCCTAACAACCTCCGCCTGGGGAGCTTCATTCAACCCAGACTTGGGCTTTGATTTCCTGAACGCCAGTGTTTCACGGTCCAGGGCTCAGATGTTTCTGATAGACAACGAATCTCCAGGTCGGCCTCTCCCAGATTCCCTAGTTTGGAACACACATTCAGGCGCGTCTGCCACGCAGGGCCATTCTCAGGCTGAAGTGCCTGCGGTCAGGTGCGGTTACCATACACTCCCAGGTGTTCAGGCCAACCGCTGGTGCCCCAAAGCTGGTCAGGAGATAAGGGACAGGCCACCGTGAGGCTGTTTGTTGTGTTCCTAAGGAAGAGAAGAGCCCTCCAGCTGCCCTGGATTTTCGTCCGGGTGTAAGCATTTATTCCAGTCCACCCTGTCTCCCTGGGTCTCGGGTGCCATGGTGGCTTCTAACTACATCTAGCCTCTCCCCTGGTTTATGTAAGGACAAGATTCCTTTTCCTTTAGATTGGCCAAGGCTGGGTGGAATTTCAAAAGAACTGTGCCAAGGAACAAAGTCAAGGTCAAACGCAAAACCTAGAAGGGACATTCCAAACACAGATGGCAGGGGCCACTCAGACAAGTTTGGTTGCGAGGCTTTGCACATGAGAACCCTGGTTCCTTCCCAGAGCCCTGCTCTTTCTTGGGGGCCTGGATGCGGGCATGCACCCCTGTTTGATCTCCGGGATTCCTAGACCCCACAGGAAGAAACCTGCACGTTTTCCAGCCCCTGCAAGGAAATGGCAATGTGGGCTCAGAAAGCTGGATTCCTCATTGGACACAGATGGTGTCAGTCATCTCTGCTTGGCAAATAGCTGTGAACTGTGGGTGTTCCTCCACTGCAAAATGAAAAGAGGGGTGGGGCCTTCTGAAACAGGGAATGCGTCCTGGTCCTGGCTGGTGGGTCAGGGTGGCCTCCAGCAAAACTAGGTCTTGAGGCCTCAGAGCAATAGGTGAAACAGCTTGTGAGGGAGCTTGACAGCCTTAGTCATTTAAAGACCACCCCATCCATGCCAAAGGAGGGCAGCTGTGGTTTAGGAAGGGCAGGAGGGAGGCCAGAGTCAGCTAACATTCTGAGCTCACCCAGCTCATTCTGGGGGAACATAGAGGGTTGAGAAGACCCAGTACTCTGAAGCAACCCAAACGGCTGCCAGGGATGGAGACCCAGGGGGATAGGAGAGAAAAGAGACCCAGCTTGGGTGTGTGACACAGGGGATGACAAGACATACGGGAAACCCATAGAAAGGCAACTGGGCCTGGCCCAGGGCCTGGCTGGTTAGAAAGCATGTCATCTGGGGACATTCAGAGTTTGTCCTGAAGCCCTTTGTAGCCCCTGTGTTTCCTCTTTCTCTTCACTAGGTCTCTGACCTTCTCTCTTGAAGGGACCCTCAACTGGGGCCCTCTTCAAGGTACAGAGGAGAGTCAGTGGAGGGGAGCCCCTGATGGCCCAGCTCTGGGGGGCTGGACAGGACAATTACTAAACGAGCGACAAAGGCCATTGTATTTTTGGACATCCGGCCTCTCTGCCATCTGCTCTGGACTGGAAGCAGCTTTGGGAGCGTGCACGTGCATGGCCCTTCAGTAAGGACATCTGGCCTGTCGCCATTTCCCCCACCCCTTGCTGCTTTCTGAGTGGGGTTATGGCCACATCTTGGGCGGCTGCTCAAAGCTTTCATTATCCCTGGACAAGTTCAAGCCCACTTCAGGCCCTGAGGAGTGCTAGCTCGTTCTTTTACTGTGGGCAAAGAGGGCGGCTGTCACTTTCTTGTTCATGCTGAGGATTCAGCTCACTCAAGATATCTGATGCCCTTGTGACAGCATCTGGCTGTCAGAGCTCATAGACCATCTGCTGGGATTGCCCTGGGCCCGTCCTTTAGGGCACAGAACGTGGCAATAATGTGTCCCGTTTGGCAGCCTGTGTGACATTTCTTCTTGTATCATATCAGGTGACTCAAATAATGATCATGCCTGTTGACACTTGGAGCTCTCACAGGGAATTCTGAGCAGCAAGGGGAAGGTGACACAGCACTCAAGGGCACCTGCGCCAAGTGCTGCCCGTGCAGCTGGTGATTAAGCCATTGCCGAAAACAACAATAAAACAGATTCTGGGCAAGTAGGGAATGGTGGATTCAATCCAGTGTGGCAAAAAAAGGAAATGCAAAGTGAGGAATGTGGTTTCCAGATAAATAAATTATATAATTGTGATTCACCATTTGTGCAAAGAGCAGACTAGTGTTTGCAGGATTTATGTTCTGGAAGAAAGATTTAATATTTGAGCCTGCTGCTGAGATTAGTTTTAATTTTGCCGGAACTCTTTCTTCTTATTGAACAATGCTTTATTAAGTGTTGACTAAGCTGACAGCCACTGGGATGTTCTCTGGATGGTGGATGAGTCACAGTTGGATTTGGGAGATGGGGAGGAGGAGCAGGGAGCTCTTTAATGCCTGTAATTCCAGGGGCAGGGCTCAGGACCCTGGGAGAGGAGGGACAATGAGAAGTTGGGGCACAGCTGGAGTTGGGGAAGGGGTTGGGAGCAAGAGGTCAGAGCTGGTGGGAAGGCGGGGTGGGGGGAGCGAGGGGAGCAGGGAGGAGGGTGCAAAACCAGACTTTCATTTGCGAGTCCCTAAGCATACCCTGCCATGCCGCCTCTCTCACTGCATCTCACCATCGCATGTTCTTGTCTGTCTCCCTCTAAGCTGTGAGCCGGACAGGGACCTGGCCTGAGTCTCTTTTGTACTCCTAATGCTTGCCACAGTGCCTGGCCACAGGGGTGTATGGAGGGCAAGGGGGTGAGCAGGTGGCAGAGAAAGAAGTACCAAGAGGTTGCAGACTCCGCCACATTTAGATCCAGTGAGCTGTGCATCCTCATCTGTGATAACTGGTTATCGTAAGAGGGAACATAGTGGTCCTTGCGCTCTAGGGCCACTGGGGAGCTCATGCAGCTTTTCCGGGCTTGGGAGAGAGAAGGTGGGTGGGGGAGGCTTAGGAAGCACTCTCAGGAAGTGGTGTCTCTTCCAGGGACATCCAACCTAGACTGTAAGGTCTGGAGCAGCTGGTCAGGATTTCAGGCTCTTGAGATAGGTGGAATTTTCCCACGAATGTTCCACACAGCAGACAGCATTTTAAATTTAATTTTATTATTTTTATTTTAATAGGTTTTTGGGGAACAGGTATTTGGTTACATGGATAACTTCTTTAGTGGTGATTTCTGAGCTTTTGGTGTACCCATCACCTGAGTAGTATACACTGTAACCAGTGAACAAATAACATTTTGAAGTAACCAAGTTGTGTCAACAAATACAAAACAGCAAGTCCTCCAAACTACTGAAAAGAGCCCAGAGCTGGGGAACATTTTTCTGAGATCAGAGGAGTACCCAGGCAGTGTTTCCCCAGTGGAGAGGGATATCAGTAGTGGTGTGTGCGATGTTGTTAGATGTGGTTTGGATAGTTTAGCTGTGACAGATAAACTATGTATTTTCATGTGTTTTAGAAAAAAATACAATGAGGACTTGAGCCCCATAATTTTGCAGACAACTCACTTAAAAATAGTGAGTTGATTTAAA